CCTGTGCTCTGGAGGCCTCAGTGTGACATCACTCTGTTTACTCTCCTGTAACGACTGCACTTTTCATGGTTAAGTAACATTCATTATTATGGTACATCCATTTTCTTCTGCTTTATCCGTTGCCGGGTCCAGGGAGCAGCGACACAGACTTCCCCCTCCACAGACACCTCCTCCAGCTCATCTGGGGGAATCCTGAGGCCTTCAGTCGAGACTCAGTCTGTGTCCTGGGTCTCCTCTGGGTCTCCTCCGGGTCTCCTCCGGGTCTCCTCCGGGTCTCCTCCGGGTCTCCTCCGGGTCTCCTCCGGGTCTCCTCGTGGTCTCCTCCTGGTCTCCTCCTGGTCTCCTCCTGGTCTCCTCCTGGTCTCCTCCTGGTCTCCTCGTGGTCTCCTCCTGGTCTCCTCCTGGTCTCCGCGTGGTCTCCGCGTGGTCTCCTCCGGGTCTCCTCCGGGTCTCCTCCTGGTCTCCTCCTGGTCTCCTCCTGTTAGACAGGCCCAAAACACATCTTTACCAACAGGATCATAACTGCCCCTAACAGCCTCTTTACTAACAGGATCATAACTGCCCCTAACAGCATCTTTATTAACAGGATCATAACTGCCCCTAACAGCATCTTTACTAACAGGATCATAACTTCCCCTAACAGCCTCTTTATTAACAGGATCATAACTGCCCCTAACAGCATCTTTACTAACAGGATCATAACTGCCCCTAACAGCCTCTTTACTAACAGGATCATAACTGCCCCTAACAGCCTCTTTATTAACAGGATCATAACTGCCCCTAACAGCCTCTTTACTAACAGGATCATAACTGCCCCTAACAGCATCTTTACTAACAGGATCATAACTGCCCCTAACAGCCTCTTTATTAACAGGATCATAACTGCCCCTAACAGCCTCTTTACTAACAGGATCATAACTGCCCCTAACAGCCTCTTTACTAACAGGATCATAACTGCCCCTAACAGCCTCTTTACTAACAGGATTATAACTGCCCCTAACAGCCTCTTTACTAACAGGATCATAACTGCCCCTAACAGCATCTTTACTAACAGGATCATAACTGCCCCTAACAGCCTCTTTACTAACAGGATCATAACTGCCCCTAACAGCCTCTTTACTAACAGGATCATAACTGCCCCTAACAGCCTCTTTATTAACAGGATCATAACTGCCCCTAACAGCCTCTTTACTAACAGGATCATAACTGCCCCTAACAGCATCTTTACTAACAGGATCATAACTGCCCCTAACAGCCTCTTTATTAACAGGATCATAACTGCCCCTAACAGCCTCTTTACTAACAGGATCATAACTGCCCCTAACAGCCTCTTTACTAACAGGATCATAACTGCCCCTAACAGCCTCTTTACTAACAGGATTATAACTGCCCCTAACAGCCTCTTTACTAACAGGATCATAACTGCCCCTAACAGCCTCTTTACTAACAGGATCATAACTGCCCCTAACAGCATCTTTACTAACAGGATCATAACTGCCCCTAACAGCCTCTTTACTAACAGGATCATAACTGCCCCTAACAGCATCTTTACTAACAGGATCATAACTGCCCCTAACAGCCTCTTTACTAACAGGATCATAACTGCCCCTAACAGCCTCTTTACTAACAGGATCATAACTGCCCCTAACAGCCTCTTTACTAACAGGATCATAACTGCCCCTAACAGCCTCTTTATTAACAGGATCATAACTGCCCCTAACAGCCTCTTTACTAACAGGATCATAACTGCCCCTAACAGCCTCTTTACTAACAGGATCATAACTGCCCCTAACAGCCTCTTTACTAACAGGATCATAACTGCCCCTAACAGCCTCTTTACTAACAGGATCATAACTGCCCCTAACAGCATCTTTACTAACAGGATCATAACTGCCCCTAACAGCCTCTTTACTAACAGGATCATAACTGCCCCTAACAGCCTCTTTACTAACAGGATCATAACTGCCCCTAACAGCCTCTTTACTAACAGGATCATAACTGCCCCTAACAGCCTCTTTACTAACAGGATCATAACTGCCCCTAACAGCCTCTTTACTAACAGGATCATAACTGCCCCTAACAGCCTCTTTACTAACAGGATCATAACTGCCCCTAACAGCCTCTTTACTAACAGGATCATAACTGCCCCTAACAGCATCTTTACTAACAGGATCATAACTGCCCCTAACAGCCTCTTTACTAACAGGATCATAACTGCCCCTAACAGCCTCTTTACTAACAGGATCATAACTGCCCCTAACAGCATCTTTACTAACAGGATCATAACTGCCCCTAACAGCCTCTTTACTAACAGGATCATAACTGCCCCTAACAGCCTCTTTACTAACAGGATCATAACTGCCCCTAACAGCATCTTTACTAACAGGATCATAACTGCCCCTAACAGCCTCTTTACTAACAGGATCATAACTGCCCCTAACAGCCTCTTTACTAACAGGATCATAACTGCCCCTAACAGCCTCTTTACTAACAGGATCATAACTGCCCCTAACAGCCTCTTTACTAACAGGATCATAACTGCCCCTAACAGCCTCTTTACTAACAGGATCATAACTGCCCCTAACAGCCTCTTTACTAACAGGATCATAACTGCCCCTAACAGCCTCTTTACTAACAGGATCATAACTGCCCCTAACAGCATCTTTACTAACAGGATCATAACTGCCCCTAACAGCCTCTTTACTAACAGGATTATAACTGCCCCTAACAGCCTCTTTACTAACAGGATCATAACTGCCCCTAACAGCCTCTTTATTAACAGGATCATAACTGCCCCTAACAGCCTCTTTACTAACAGGATCATAACTGCCCCTAACAGCCTCTTTACTAACAGGATCATAACTGCCCCTAACAGCCTCTTTACTAACAGGATCATAACTGCCCCTAACAGCCTCTTTACTAACAGGATCATAACTGCCCCTAACAGCATCTTTACTAACAGGATCATAACTGCCCCTAACAGCCTCTTTACTAACAGGATCATAACTGCCCCTAACAGCCTCTTTACTAACAGGATCATAACTGCCCCTAACAGCATCTTTACTAACAGGATCATAACTGCCCCTAACAGCCTCTTTACTAACAGGATCATAACTGCCCCTAACAGCATCTTTACTAACAGGATCATAACTGCCCCTAACAGCCTCTTTACTAACAGGATCATAACTGCCCCTAACAGCATCTTTACTAACAGGATCATAACTGCCCCTAACAGCATCTTTACTAACAGGATCATAACTGCCCCTAACAGCCTCTTTACTAACAGGATCATAACTGCCCCTAACAGCATCTTTACTAACAGGATCATAACTGCCCCTAACAGCATCTTTACTAACAGGATCATAACTGCCCCTAACAGCATCTTTACTAACAGGATCATAACTGCCCCTAACAGCATCTTTACTAACAGGATCATAACTGCCCCTAACAGCATCTTTACTAACAGGATCATAACTGCTCCTAACAGCATCTTTACTAACAGGATCATAACTGCCCCTAACAGCCTCTTTACTAACAGGATCATAACTGCCCCTAACAGCCTCTTTACTAACAGGATCATAACTGCCCCTAACAGCATCTTTACTAACAGGATCATAACTGCCCCTAACAGCCTGTACTTTGACCAGACGTGGGATAATATTCTGTGGATTAAATAATGTCGTCGATCCACAAACGACAGAGTTTGAGGTTAAAAGAATCGACAAACGACTTCACTTTTAGACGGAAAATAAATGAGAAATTGTAACGTGTCATAAAAGGCCCATCTCTGTGAGGAGCGAGCGGATTGGCTCATCTCTGTCGAGAACCAGGAAGAGAGTGCGAGGTCACGGTGAGGTCACGGCGAGGTCACGGCGAGGTCACGGCGAGGTCACGGCGAGGTCACGGTGAGGTCACGGCGAGGTCACGGCGAGGTCACGGTGAGGTCACGGCGAGGTCACGGCGAGGTCACGGTGAGGTCACGGTGAGGTCACGGCGAGGTCACGGTGAGGTCACAGTGAGGTCACGGTTAGGTCACGGTGAGGTCACGGTGAGGTCACGGCGAGGTCACGGCGAGGTCACGGCGAGGTCACGGTGAGGTCACGGTGAGGCCACAGCGAGGCAGGGGTCAGTCGATTCTGTTCTCGTCCAATAGAAACTGAGCACAGGCTGCGAAGGCGTCATTCGTCAGAGACTGGGGGCGGGGCAAACGGCGCAAAAGGGGAGGGGCCTCATACACCAGTGGTTTTGTAGGCGATGATGTCATGTTTAGTCACTGCTGCTAACATGCTATATGCTAACAGTATATATATATATATATATACATACAGTGAGAGTAAAAAGTATTTGATCCCTTGCTGAATTTGTTGGTTTGCCCACTAATAAAGACATGATCATTCTATACTTTTAATGGTAGATGTATGCTAACATGGAGAGACAGAATATCAAAACGAAAATCCAGAAAATAACTTTCAAGAATATATTTTAATTAAT